AATGAATTTTAGGGTTTGAGGAAAAGGGATATTCTCTGTGTAGGGACAGGTAGATCCTCATGCATTTTGGGGGATTCCAGGTGGAATTCCTATGGGTTTTGGGGCTTGAGTAGAGGATCCTGCTGGAGGCATTCTCTATATAGGAACAGGCAGATCCCAATGAATTTTGGGGATTCTGAGTGGAATCCTAATGAATTTTGGGGTTTGAGGAAAGGATCCTGATAAGGACATTCTCTTTGTAGGGAGAGGTGCATCCTGATGCATTTTGGGGGATTCCAGGTGGAGTTCTAATGAATTTTGGGGTTCAAGGAGATGATCCTGCTGGAAGGCATTCTCTATGTAGGGACAGGTGGATCCTGATGGATTCTGGGGAGTCCAGGTGGAATCCTAATGAATTTTGGGGTTCAAGGAGAGGATCCTGCTAGGGATATTCTCTTTGTAAGGACAGGCAGATCTCAATGGATTTTGGGTGTTCCAGGTGGAATTCTAATGAATTTTGGGGTTTGAGGAGAGGATCCTGCTGGAGGCATTCTCTATATAGGAACAGGCAGATCCCAATGAATTTTGGGGATTCTGAGTGGAATCCTAATGAATTTTGGGGTTCGAGGAGAGGATCCTGCTAGGGACGTTCTCCTTGTAAGGACAGGCAGATCCTGATGGATTTGGGGGTTCCAGGTGGAATCCTGATGGGTTTTGGGGTTTGAGGAGAGGATCCAGCTGGGATAGTGCCATTGGAGAGGGCGGGAGCAGCTCTGGAGCACAGGGAGAGCTCACCTGGGTGAGTGAGGGCTCACCTGAGTGAGGACTCACCTGAGTGAGTGAGTCCCAATCTTACACTGGGAATTTGGGATCCAGAGTGGATTTTAGCTGCCTTAGGGAGGTGCATGCAGGAGCAGCCCCACCCCAGCATGACCAGTTTGTCCCTTTGGGCACCAAACCAGCTGCAATCCCATTCCCTGTCCAACTCCAGAAATTCCAATTGGCTTGAGCTGTTCCAAAGCTGGGATTGTTCCGTTTGTTTTTCCCACGTTTATCCCTCCACACCAAATCCTACCGAGCAGTTTTGGGCACGTTTTCCTTTCCTTTTGTCCTCTCCTCACCCCTTGCATGGATCCTGGGGAGCTGGTGAGTGATGATCCATATTCCCACAGCCGGGAGGGAATTCCTGTTAAAACCCCAATCCCAGGCTCCCTCAGCCCCCTTGTGTACAAGGGATCTCCTTCCTCCATTTTATCTCCCATAAAACGTTGGGATTTGGAGGATTTGGTGGCATTTGGAAACCCACATCAGTTTTACCACTGATTCTTTGGATTCCTGGGGTTCAAAGTTTAAAAAAAAGATTTTTCCCATGTTTTTGTTTCCTGTGTGTTGAAGTTGCTTGTGAGGATGGGGAGGCTTTGGCACACGTGCCAAGAGCAGCTGGAAGTGTCCCCATCCCTGGAAGTGTCCAAGGCCAGGCTGAGCAGGGCTTGGAGCAACCTGAAATAGGGAAAACCATCCCTGCCCATGGAAAGGGGTGGCACTAACTGACATTTAAGGTCCCCCCAAGCCAGAATTCCGGAATCCCGGTGCTGAAGCCGTGTCTCTGTTGCAGTGGTGTCGTGTGGCCACCCCGGGTCCCCTCCCCACGCGCAGATCTCGGGGGACAAGCACACGGTGGGCTCGGTGGTCAGGTACA